AAATGAATATCTTAAATATTGAGATATCCATTAAAAATGTAACAAATATCTCATTTGAGATATTTTTAACGGGTATCTCAATATGTAAGATACTCATTTGTTTTATTTTGTTTTGGTACTTGTGAGATATTTAAGTGTAGAATTCATTGTAGAACAATTTTAATGGTAGAACTAGACTTTGACCCGCCCGATCGGACGGATATTTATTTTATGTTTTTTATATTAAATAATCTATTTATAATATTTAAACATAAATTTTGATTTAAAATTAATCTTTACATATAAATAATTTAAATTAAAAATTGAATAAAATATTCTGATATAAATTTTAAATTTTTTAATAAAAATAATATAGAGGTAGGTCATAATTTTTTCCAATTCCAAAATTTTAGCATCGCTTAAAAATAAAAATAAAAACAAAATGATAAATACATAAAATAGATAAACATATTTAGAACGATAACTTCTATTAAATAAATTTCTTAAAGAAAAATAATACATTATTTATTATAATAAATATTAAAATATTTAATATGTTAATATCAAATATATTAGAAAATTTATTTTGGATAAAATATGACTAAGGAAATCTATTATTTAAATTCTGAAAAGATATTAAATAGTTAAATCTATTATTTAAATTAGAAAAAGACAAACATGCTTAAATATAGGTTCAATAAATATCTTAATGGCATTCTAGTGTAAATAACATATAAAATTAAGGGTTATTTTTATTGGGTACTTCTCTTTTAATAATATAGATTCTCTTAAAGTTCTCAAAAAAATTAAAATAATTATTTTTATAAGATAAAATCATGAGAAAATTTGAAAAATACACTCAAATAAAATTATAATTTGAAAACTACACCATTATTTAAGTTTTTTTGGAAAAATACACTTACGTATATAAAATTTACCAAATTGTCCAATTTTTTCACCATGAAGTTTTTGGAAAAATACACTTATGTATATAAAAACTACATCATTGTTTAAGTTCCTCATTTCTTGATATTTTCTATGTTTGTGGAGGTTTGAGATCTTAGGTGTTCCAATTTCTCTACAAAATAGAGATTTTATATGAGTTAGTACACTAATTAGGTCGTATATAACGTTTTAAAGAATTACTCGTTAGAAAATTAGAAATGATGTCAATGTACCATGAAAATATGTTTAGAATACATTAATATACATTTAAAATACGGTTGGAAAATATTAATGAGGCTAAAATTTAGAATATATAAAATTTATTGGAAAAAAACTCGATATTTTCGTAAGATAAATTAGAAATTATGCAATTTTATTTTAATGCTTAACTCCTTCAAGCAATGACATGTGAGGAAAATTAATAAGGTCTGTGACCTTTTTTATCCCCGTTTTTCCAGAAATTACAGATTTTATAGGGGTTAGTCCACTAAATTATGTGGAATATGAAGTTGTATTAGTAATGTACTCATTAAAATATTAGAAACGATGCACATGTACCATGAAAATAAGTTTAACATACATTAATCTAAATACATAATGTGATTAGATATTTTTTTAATCAGCAAGAAAGACCTTAAAACTTTTGTATATACAATTTATCAGAAAACTAGATCTTTTTCTTAGGGGTTAACCCACAAAATTCAAAAAAACTTAGAAAATATAGTACTTTTCTTTTTATGCGTAGATGCATCCAGAACATATATAGGATGAAGATTAATGATTTCTGACACATTTGTTGTCTAAAATTCTCTAGAATGTAGAAATTTCATAGGGTTTAGTTCTTTGATTTACGTGGTATATGAAGTTTTATTAAATTACTCGTTGAAAAATTATAACTTATGCTCATGTACCATGAAAATAAATTTAGGATACATTAGTGTAAATTTTTAATGTGGTTAGCTATATTAAACAACACTAAAGAGGCTAAACTTAAGTAAAAATAACATTTATAAGAAAAATTCTATTGTTTCCTAGTGGGTAACCCACATATCTCAAGATAAATTTTAAAAATATGAAATTTTGTATTTATGCATAGTTGCAGACAAAACGAATATATGATGAATATTAAAGAGTTTTGATACCTTAGTTGTGCAAAGTTCTCTTGAAAATAGAGATTTAATTGAGTTTAGTTCATTGCTTTTGGTGGTATATGAAGTTTTCTTAAATTCTTCTGTTGAAAATTAGAACTGATGTCCATGTACCATGAACATAAGTTTAATACATTAATATAAATTTTGAATGTGGCTAGATTTTTTTAAACAAAATTGAAGAGACGTATATATAACATTTATCGAGAAACTCGATTTTTTTTGTAAGGGCTAACCCATATATTTCAAGATACAAAAAAATATGGTATGTTTTTTAATGAATGCTACATCATGCATTGACATAGTATGAAGAATAAAGAGGTTTGGAACCTTATGTGTTACCGTTTCTCCATAAAATAAAATAAGCTGTATAATAAATTACTCATCGAAAAATTAGAAATGATGACCATATACAAGGAAAATAAGTTTAACATATATATATATATATATATATATATATATATATATATTTGGAGTGCGGCTATGTATTTGTAAACAACACCAAAGAGGCGGAATAATATAGAAAATATTTATCAAAAATTTTAATCTTTTAGTAGGGATTAATCCACATATTTTAATATAAATTAGAAATATGATATTTTTTTTAATGCATAACTGCATCATGCACTGACATAGTATGAAAATTAAAGAGGTTTGAAACTTTAGATGTTCCTATTTCCCTAAAAATAGAGATTTTATAGATGTTAGTACTCTAATTAAATCGTATATAGAGTTTAAAAAATTACTCGTTGGAAAATAGAAATAATGCCCATGCATGTACCATAAAAATATGTTTAGAATTTAATATATATTTATAGGGCGGTTAGGTATTTTTTTAAAAACATTAATGAAGCTAAACATTAGTATCTAAAACATTTATTGGAAAAAACTCGCTCTTTTTGTAAGATAAATTAGAAATATGATATTTTATTTTAATGCATAACTTCATCATGTCATTGTATGTGAGGAAAATTGAAAATTTCTAAGATCTTATTTGTCTCCATTTTTTTTTCTAGAAATTACAGATTTTATAGAGGTTATTTTTTTATAGAGATTTTATAGAGGTTATTTTTTTTATAGAGATTTTATAGAGGTTAAGTCCATTGAATTAGGTGGAATATGAAATTTTATTAAATTATTCATTTATATACGATTTCACATGTAACATGTAAATTAGTTTAACATACACTAATATAAATGCCTAATGTGATTAGGTATATTTTTAATCAGCAAGAAAGACCTTAAATGCATAATGAAATTAGCAGCGGTTAGTATATCCTTTCTCTGATACTTTTTTTTTGGACAGAGAGATGAAGTAACAACTATGGAGGGAGGAGCCATTTATGGGATTCCTCAAGGTTATGTGAGATGGGTGATGGATGAAGAAGGCCATTTCTGGTGAGAGGAGCTTTTCAACAGCTAGATTGTTTAAGAAGATACAACATGTTAGTGATGAAGAAAGATAAGTATCAGAGAAAGGATATACTAACCGCTGCTAATTCATTAATCGGATTTGAAGAAAGAAATAAAAGAGAAGAGGGAGTTGACAAACTTGTATATGATTTAAAAGAAAAAAAACTTGTATATGATTTACCTTATACAGAAAAACATAACTTAGATCTTGTTGGATATTATCTTTTCTTGACATTTTAATTTTTTTAGAGGGGTATCTGATTCCAAATGCAATAAAACAGTGTATGTTCAGTACTATCTATTCCATAGATTCAAAAGTAGACTTAAAGAGTGGAGAGTTTCGACAATTTTGGACCAACCTGTTTGAAGATACGTTTTCATAAAGACACACATACTACATTACCTGTGTTTGTCTGTTTCAGTGTTTTGTATAGTTATTACTTATTACCGGTCTTCTCTAAATCATCAACACATACAATCTTTGAGGCCAAGTTCTGGTTAAATCGTAATAAGATCAATGAGAGGTCAAATTCGAAGTTTAGATAAAATAGGGGAGGAGGCAGAAAGGATTAACATCACACATTCTTAATTTACTTGCGTAAAACGACAAATTAGTCATCAGTGGGTGGTCCACATGATTAAAAACTAAAAACACATCATTACAAAAAAGGGACGGTGACACGAGACATCCGAGTGTAGAGCACTTTACGAAGAAGACCACATTCATTCGAACCTTCTGGAGCGAGAGAGAGACACTAAAGAAAAAATATCAAACCAAATCTGAACTCTCAACCTCACTCTCATGCTTCATGTTTTGTTCTCCACACACACAAAATTGATCACGTATTGAACACAGAAATTATATCTTCACTATCCATTTTCAAGATGTTACTACAATGGACAACTCTTTAAATTACTATTCATATTCAAGATGTTACTACAATGGACAACTCTTTAAATTACTATTCATATTCAAGATGTTACTACAATGGACAACTCTTTAAATTATATATATGAGCCTTATTACAACATGCTATTGACACATAACTTACAGCATGGAAGTTATATCTGACAGATAGTACCCTTGGGGATCTTAATAATATATATATATTATTTTAATTTTTAAAAAAATGAAATTATGGAAAATTTATTCTAACTAAAATATTTTCGGTTGAGTTTTTAGTAGTTTTAAAAACCACACAATTACATATAATATATATACATAAATATATGTGTATTTGAGATTTTTAATGGTAGAAGGAGATACTATTACAATAATAGTAGATATTTTCCGTCCCATAAAATATTAATTAATGTTTGGTTGACCAATAGAAAGAGAATGGAGAAGATAATTATTCAGTATATATTAATATATAAAAAAAAATAAAGAATACAAGGAAACTAGGAAAAATATCTATGACAAGTGGCAGAGGAAGAGGTTCTGGAGAGTTCCATTCTCTCTATTAGCGTATACGTATGAAGGAAACACAAATAAAAACCCTTATTTTTTCAACCAAACTCTTCCTCTCCTGAGTTTCTTCTTTGTTCACCGTCTACAGACTCATACCAAACCCTAATCATCATTCCATGTTTTAACGTTTGCATCTATAATTTTTCGAAAAAAACACGAGAAAAGAATCGATTTTTAATTTTTATTGGTGGGGAGTATGACGTCGAAAAAAAGGAACGATGATTTGTATGGTGTTCTTGGTTTGAACAAGGAATGTACAACGACCGAACTCCGTAGTGCTTATAAGAAACTTGCTCTTGTAAGTCTCCTTGTTTTGTCCTGTTTTCAATGTAACACACAGTTTGGTTCTGTTTTTGCATGTAATAATAATAATAGCTAATTGGTTTTGTTTTGTTAGTTTCTATAATATTGATCTTTTTTCTTTTAACTTGTGTAGTCGTTTTGTGAATTGAGATTTAGTTAGATACTATTATTATCTGCAATTTTGGGAATTAACTGGGAATTTTTTTTGAATTTTGCAATTTAGAGATGGCATCCAGATCGTTGTTCATCAATGGGGAACTTGGAGTTTGTAGATGAAGCAAAGAAGAAATTTCAGGCTATCCAAGAAGCCTACTCTGGTAATCTCACCTACCCTTTTCTTTCTCTTGGATATTTTATTGTTTAATGGGAGACAAATGGGAGTTGATTATTGGATACAGAGGATGCTCTGTTAATCTCCCTTTTCTTTAAAGTATTGTTTTTTTTTTTCTTATCAAGCTTTTATTTTATTTGTGGTGGCATAACAGTTCTGTCTGACTCCAACAAGAGGTTCCTCTATGATGTTGGAGCTTATAATAGTGATGATGATGTTGATGACCAAAACGTAAACTCTCCCTTTAAACTATTTTCTAGCTTAAAGATTTTGTTTAGTTGTATCTAAATGGCAATGATTCATGATTGTTACTGAACATATGAACTATGTAGTGATTGATATTGATGTTTTGTTTGTTTTGCAGGGAATGGGTGATTTCTTGAACGAGATGGCTGCCATGATGAATCAATCCAAGCCTAATGTAAGACTTTCTCATTAGTTTTCCTATTGTTTATTATGATAAACATCAGTGATATTGATATTTGAGATGTTGGTTTTGGCAGGAGAATAACACAGGAGACAGTTTTGAACAGTTGCAAGATCTGTTTAATGAGATGTTTCAAGGAGACGCTGCAGCATTCCCATCCTCATCATCTTCAACTTTCACATCCTCTTGTAGCTTTGTCTTTGACACGAATGGTCAGCAGTCACCGTTTGAGACAAGCTCTATGGGGAGAAGTGATCCTTTCGGATTTGACACTAGAGGAGCTCACACCTTCTCTTTAGGGGTATATAAAGATGCTAAAAACCATTTATCATTTCACCTGAAGAAGCCGTTTGTTCTGAATGATGAATTGTGTTTTTTGCAGGTGGAACATCAGCAGGATTTCAAGAAAGGGAAGAACAATGGTGGAAGAAGAAACAACAGACGGAAGAACAATGCTCAATCTTCTAACAACTATGGTGTCCCCACTTCATAGCCCTTGAGACTAACCTCTTTTTCTCGAAGCTTCTTTTTCCTCTCACTCTTTCTACTTTTGTCATTGAATTCTTGTGTCTTAAGCAAGAGTTGTTAAGATCGATGAAGTCAACGGTTTATTGATGACGAATACATACATATACAATCTCTTGATATGCTCAGCATTTGATTACACCAATGCATTTTTGTTTGGTTCATTCTAGTTCAACCAAAACGTCAGAGTAATGATCAAACATTATCTGAAATACAATGTTTTAAGGATGCTTAAGAGTATAGATCTATTGCTAAATAGGATTTCATTGCTGCTTTGTCGTCGACTGTGTAAATGTTAATCAGAAACTCAGCTTATGAGAACGCTCAAATTACTTGAAAAGACAAACATAGAGTGTTGCAAGTACATGACGAACTAAACCAT